TTTATATATATATATATATTTTATATTCTATATATATATATATATATATATATATATATATATATATATATATATATTTGGAACTGTCATTACAGACCTTGAGACACCAATATTGTCACCAACAGAGAGATATGTCAATAGAAACAAAACTACGACATTCACATGTCATTTCTCTGACGGTGTTCCAACACCTATCACCATTACATGGATCAAAACTGGCTGTGTACTTGATGTGTCTAATACTGAGAAGTATCCACAGTCAGATACAACATTAGAGATCAGCAGAGTGAATGAAACGGACGAAGGAGACTACCAATGTCGAGCACAGAATGCAGCTTACAGTGGGAGTGAAGGAAAGCTGAGTAATACAGGAACACTGTCATTGTTTAGTCTCACTTGTAAGTAAAATCATAGGAATAATTAGATAATTACAATACGGTATTTCAGAAAGCTGTATTTTGTAAAATTTAATGTTTCTGTTAAAATATGAAATTATGTTTTTTGTTTTAATTTTGAAAACATAATCTTGTTTGCTCATTAGCTCCATCAACGACATCCATAGCCAGTTCTTTCTCCATAGGTACGTCTTCTCTTCATTCATATTTTTATATGTACGATTATTTGCAAATGAACAGAAAATAATATGAAGACATAAATTTAATATTTTTTATTTATCTGTTTTTATACTGAAATAACACTTTCAGTATTTAAAAATTAAGAAAATTATTAAAGAAACATCATTAAAAACATTTCTTCAAATATTGACAAATACAATAATTTACATTGGAGAATAATAAGCATCAAAAATTGATATAAGTTATCTAATAAGGATCATTTGGCATATAATTTTTGAAATTTAAAAGATTAGTGGATTCAAATTTTGTTTTAATATTATCTGGGAGTTTATTCCATAATTTAGTGGATCTTTAAACAAAGGTTCTTTTACCCTGCATATTATTCAATTGATGTTCAATTAGAATATTCATTGTATAAGAAATCAAAAAAGCATGGATATTGAACATTTTTGATAATTGTAATTATGTCTGGTCGAATTATAATGTTAAACTTTCAAATTCTCTTCAAGAAAAAGAAATAATTTTACTTTCCGCAGATAATAAAAACTCGAGCTTAGATATATTATAATGGGGCTTGGTCCTTTAAACATTTACAAAGCATTATATTTGTTTTCCCCATTTATCACTAAGTTTGCACCATCCTAAAGAACTTAAAATATCTACAACTGGAGTTGTTATTATCTGCGAAAAGTAAAATTAGTTTTAGTCTGTTTAAAAGTACTTGAATTAGAATTTGAAAGTTTAACATTACAATTCGACTAAACACAATTACAATTATCAAAAAGAGGCACCACTTAGGCACCAACATTTTAAAAGCATTATGGGTTAAATACAATTTAACACGGTGGATAACACCAACTGTAATTCGCGTTTCCGTTATAGGATGAAGAAATATTAAAAAAATTTAAGTAAAATTTGGTAATCCTAAGAGTAAAGGTTTAGAATGTTGTAAATTTACTCAACCCAAAAGGGTTTCTCTTTCATTCACATAAAAGTTTTAATTTCTTGACAAAGAGTGTTATTTTTAATAAGGGCACCACCACCAATTATATCATTATTTTTAATATAATTGGTGGTGGTGTCCTCATTTATATTATTTTAAATATAAATGAGGACACCATCACCAATTGTGAAGTTTGCCTATCAGGCCTACATTCATGTATATCACTATATTCGGTTTTATTCTCTAATGAAAGAATTTTATTTTAATAGTACCATCATTAACATCCGTAGAAAGTATTTCAACCGCAGGTACGTGTTTTTTTGTTTGTTTGTTTTGTTTTTGTTTTTCATTCATTTAGTGAAGGTATTCGATTTATGGTCGGTTTATCGTTCAGTCTTTTTGTCTTTGGATCATTCGGTCGGTTGACCTGTTGTCCGATCGATCAATGATTAAATAAAAGTAACATTATTATTCAGAAACTTACGTTCACTATTTTGGCATATTTATGAGCATTGTTAGTGTATGATAATTCCATTAATACGCTAACTAGCTTTATGTAAATTTATAAAGTAATGGGCATTTCAGATGTTCGTAATACGCTGTTTATCATTATTATTATTTTATCATTTTTCATTTTGTTTATCATTTATTATTTAAGTACCACAGAAATGTTCAGGTTCAAATACTAATCTTCTAGCTGGATCGACGTTTCTAAGTTTCTTACTGGGAATCTTTTTATCTTCAGTTATATTTGTCGTCCTCGGAAAGAGGAAAAATTCAAAGCCACAGGTGAGACACACATAGAAAAGAAGTATTGCCCGTCTCACAGCCAAGTTAATTAGTTTTTGTGTGTGATTGGACCTTTCTCTATATTGGTGGGCCTCTGTTCGGTAAAGGAAATTATCAGTAGTTTATTCTGATGAATGATATAATATTTAGTATAGGCCTATTTCTAGTATTATGTACATATATATAATTATAGGCAACATAGGTAATAGGAAAAGTAATTTTTTTAAATGAAACAATTGGTTCAAACATGACTACATGCAATATGAATTTTTTTTTATTGCCTATAAGTATTAACAGACTTGACATTGTTCAAATGTGTTTTTAAAAATCTAACTATTTAATTGATCTAGGCCTATATAATTTACTTTAAAGGTAACCAACGCAATATCGAGACAAGAATGATATTATAATTTAATGAATGCTGAATTGTCAAGGCATATGCAATGTGAAATACAACATTTAATTCTTCATATGTATTATTGGTCAATGTTCCATATTGAAGAAATAATAATATTAATAATAATAATAATAATAATAATAATAATAATAATAATAATAATAATAATAATAATAATAATAATAATAATAATAATAATAATAATAATAATCCAATCCTAAATCCAATACATAAATTATAAATAGTTTACTCTAATGTACAGGTGTACAGGCACATGTGAGAAAGAGGCACCTCGGCCACGTGTCGGCTATTGGTTTTACCGTGGAGGGAAAATCATTACCGTGTATTGCTTGGCCTTTACTCCGTAGAAGAACTATGTCGATAGTTAATCTGATAATTTACATACATATGACTGAATATAAAATGATAACTGCCATCTAAAATGATCACTTTAACAAAACAAAACAATTTAACATATGTATGAATCTTACCACAATTGTGATTCTATTTTATCACTCATAGTGCTTAATTAATAATAACCCGGTTTTTGCTTGTGACAACCCATCTCCGACATAGCAGTATATTGACGACTAGTATTTAGATATATGATTTTACGATTAAGAGAGTTTAAAGATTTTTATCCGAATAACAATTTTATTGATTTATATCATTTATAGGTAACTGGAGCAACACCCGGACATTATGAACAACCGGCGGTAAGAAAGATGGAATATAATAAAATCAGTAGTTATTGATTATGAAAATCCATTTCGCTATAGTAGTTTTAGAGAAAATTGTAATGTAGACAATTAAAAAAGGCTGGGACCTTGTGGGAACCGGGAAGAC